CTCACCGAGCATCTACTAAGCCTTAATAGGAAAAATACTGGAGTACTGGGTCTATTAACAGGGCTTTGTATAATATCGGTCTGACAGAAGAGACCTTGTGCCGATTCTGTCAAGAAGCGGAGGAAACGGCAGAACACGTATTGTGCTACTGCGAAGGTCTAGCAAGACTGACATTCCTTACACTTGGAGAAGAAAAACCAAGGGCAACTAGCTATACTAGAGAACTACTTCCCAGTCCATGGAATCTACTCCAAAAGACCGAATTAGACAAGGTACTCTAAACAACGATTCAAGGATATCCACAATAGATCTGAAAAGGTCGAGGTGGGGGAGGCCCAAAGACATTACAACATATAGACAAAATGTTTCATTCATAAATCCCATACAATTGCGGACTGTTATTGTTTTAAAATTGTGGAAGAGAGAGAGAAAGACAGATCTCTTAGGACCGGCTGGCAACGTTGTAAACAGTCTCCATAATATGCTCGCCAGTGGTGTAGAGTTTTAAACTTACCAGTATTGTCAGAGTAGTATGTTAAAAAAATACGTAAATATGCAGGTATATTTTGTTAGTAATATAATTATGATGATTTTTTCATGTAGGTAGATTAGATTATGAGTTGGACGTTATTTGTCCTTGTCCACCGCGACCTTTTCAGATCTATTGTGGGACTCCTGTTTGTTTTAGAGTATGTCATCTAGCCTGGTCTTTTTTATTAGTCTTAGTAGCTTTGACAGTGGCTCCCGCATGTAGTTGCATGCAATTGGCTTTTCTTCGCCCAATGTTAGAAACCTCGTTCCAGCCAGGCATTCACATTGGCACAGGACGTGGAATATTGTTTCCTCTTCTTCTTCACAGAACCTGCACAAAGTTGCTTCTTCTGCTGGATTTATGACACTCATGTGCCTTTCGAGGCGACAGTGTCCAGTAAGAAGGCCTACTGTTATCCTAACGATTTGACGCTTTTGATCCAGTAGGTTTTTCGTGAACTTGGCCGATGGTTACTTGATGAACTGTTTGGCCTGTCTCAGTCTTGGATAGTTGTTCCACCATTCCTAAGACTCTGTTTGCATCCATTGTTTAATGGATGCATGCTCAATGCCTTAGCAACTCCACAGAAGGGTTCGGGGCCTGTCATGGCCTCCTCGGGCTAATTCGTCGGCCTTTTCGTTGCCCTGATATCCCTCATGGCCTGGAACCCAGGCTAAGTTCACCTTATTTTAACTACTTAGCTCTGTCAGGTCTTCTAGACAGTCTTTCACCAGTCGTGATTTGACTTCTGGTGAGAGAATTGCCTTTAGAGCTGCTTGGCTATCAGAGTATATGACAATAGTTTTGCATGATACTTGCTGATTTGTTATGTTATGTTATAGGTAAATTCAAGTACAAGTAAATTCAAATACAAGCGAATTCAAGTTACCTTTAGATTTTTAATATTTATTGGTTTATAGTTTATTGGCATTTACTATATATTTGCCTGGTATGATGTTAACCTTAATTATTTAAAATTTTAAATTAACATTAAGTAGGTAGAGGTATCTAAATAAAACACTGACCTAAAAATATATAATTTTGTAATTGATAATTACAAAAAAACAGTGTATGGCAAAAAATATCGTAAAAAACTGTAAAAAATTTTTAAAATAATGTTTTAAATATATAAAATACTTTAATTTTATTAACTAAAATTTCATTTAATTTCTTTATGCTTAGTTATTAATGTTATAACTTACTGCAATGTTTCTTTTTGCAGCAGGTGGTGTTCCAAAAACAGTTGAATCAGAACTAAAAATCCATACATTAGATATACATACATATAGGTAATAAATAATGTTTAGAGGTAAACAAAAAATTAATATTTTGTATTTTTACCTGTTGGATAAGTCATCCAAAAATAGAAAGCCCTCACACCGTCTGGAGTTTGCATCTTTTCTAATATATCTAGTATCATTTGCACGTACCAAAACATTTTCAGGAAAACAGTGTTCTAAACACAACTCTGGGTTTTTACAAAGGGGCTGATTTTCAAGGATTCCTATTAGAGAAAACCAAAGTTTTCTTTTCTCAGGATCTCGCGGAAACCTAAATAGAATAATAAAAAATATGTATAGGTGCTCAATAGGTAAATCATTTTTACGTTAAATTTTCTTTGCCACTATTCAATAATTATTTATTGGTATAAGAAAAATTTACTAATTTATAAAAGGAATATCACTTTAAAAACTGTTTTAGACTACACAAGTTTTTGATACAATTTCTTGTATAATTTAAATTGTATATTATCAAACCTGCAGTAAATTGTCTGAAAAATTAGATTGGATAATCATTTTTCAAACAATTTACTATGTGATCCTATATAATTTAAATTCTATAAGAAATTGTATCAAATCTTGTACAAGCCCTACTCCACTGGTTCAAATGAAAACAACATATCTTAACCTAAATACTTACCGATGAAACCATACATTTCGACTTAAATGATCTACCTTTTTGAACACTACACATGCATGTACCATAATTCTTTATATTTCTCATAAAAGTTCACACAAATAGTATTTTATAAATGAATAAATCAATAAGTCACACAGAAACTGTCAGATACTGTCCGAAATACAAAATAGCTGTTAGACCTGATTGACAACGTTGCGGCTGGTTACGGTACTACATTTCATTCATAAAAATTGTAAATTCGTAAAATAAGATATTCAGCGTTGCCGTATTTACGGTGTTCTTCGAAACCCTAATGTTTTGTTTAGATTAATATTGATAATAAAAAATTTAGCTTATATTAAAACTTCAAAGAATAATTTGATTAAAAACATTTTTATTTATATAATATAAAATTAGTTACAGGACACATCAATAAAATCGGCAAAGATGCAATAAACGAGAATCTGGTAGGAATAATGATTTGCCACATAAAAATGTAAACAATTTGGTCTCTTGGTTGTAATGTCTTTGAGGAGGCCACATGGCCCACAGTGCTATCGTACTGATGTCCACAATGTAAATATACGACGAAAGCAAATGCTTACCATTTCTTCTCATCGTAAAGAAATATTTAAACGAGCATTTTCATACAACGTGGCAAAATCTGCAAATAATCTAATGGAAAATAATCTTTTTAATATCACACTTTCTCCAAATAGCTTCAAAATAAACTACAAAAATCACCTACTTACTTTATAATGCTAACTCTTATTGTTGTATTGTCCTTATCAACTTTTTCTTTATTATTTAGGTTATCACAGATACATTTATTGTTATTTTGTTCTTATATTATATGTTTTTACCTTAATTTTAGCGTGTTTAGTATTAGTATATTTTTTATATGTCTCTTAAATAAGATTTTTTTTTCATTTATTGTTAATTCAATGTTTGTTATTAGTTAAAAATAATCGGGCTTTAGCGGAAGAACAGACATTTTAGTTCAAAAGACTAAAATGCACTGAGCTAAATGCCATTTACTCAATGTTTCGTGTATAATTTATTTGTTATGTTTATATAATACTATTGAGTAATAAACGTATTTATTATTATTATTATTAAATCTAATCTACTGCCTAATTGATAATAGACTGTAGTGTAGTATTCTTTTTAATAAATAATGTTACGCAGGTTTTTGGTATCCAAATTTATTTCAACAAAACTTTTACAATAACTATCAACTGATAACATTAACGTATAACGTCTATCATAAAACTGACCGACATCAGGATCACCGACTTCTATAGCTTGTTTTAACCTTCTAGAACCTTCCCGAACGTCCAGATGTTTTTTGAAGTGGAACGACATTTCTCGAATATTCCCCCTTCTTCTTTTACTCGTACCTTTACTTATGACGACTGCAGGGTGCTGCGTAACAATAATTTAGCGTAATTAACATTCTTTAAATTTATTAACCAGAACATAAGATTGCAATCGATATTTATACAACTTTTATAATCAGGTAAATTTCCCGATGCTTTGTTTGATATTGATGAAAGTGGGTCGAATGTTAACTGCATTCGAGCTGGTCGTAAGTGTTGCTAGTGTTTTAACAGTAGACCTACTGTTTTTGTCTCTGTTCTACTGTTTTAGGCAAAAAATTACTGTTTTCGCCAATTTGGCAATTTTTGTTATTGATTTAGTAAATTTGCCTAATTCTTTAACAAATGTACAAAAGATAGTTTCTCGTGTAAATTTGCTGAAGAATGAGCCACTTGAAAACGGATGTAACAGAATAAGATTTTAAAATTCCGCTGATAGAATGAAATGTAATAGATTCAATTTGTCAATTTTTAATGACCAATTCTATTAAAAAAAAGGAAGTGTATATAGATAGGTATTATCTGGTAGGGTAAATAAATAATGACCTAAGATGGACGTCCACTGGACGTCAACATAATACTAACCTTAAAATTAAGTCCAAAAACAGACGTCCTCTGGGTATCGATATGCAGCTGTCAAATTGACGATCATAAACGATCAAATGGATCTAAAGTGGACGTCCAATGGACTATGTGTGCTGTCTGGGTACATGACACACCCGGTATAAAAAGTTTTTGTTAAAAAAATGCGCAATAAAAATACTAATCGACGTGTCCGAGCGTTTTTCCGAACACTTCCTCATTTATTGATTACCGAATTTATTCCATTTGGCTGTTCCACACTGTATATGCCAAATGCGTTTAAATTATACGCTATAACCCCACCTATCTGGGGCAACTGCGTTTTTGTGAAAAAGGTTAAATCAATAAATATATTCAATAAAATTAACTGTAAATGGCTGATTTTGACATAATTTCAAATATGTTACAGTTACTAAAATGTGTTTGTCAAATCTGAACGAAACATTTAAACAAGTGTGGTTTCTACATTAAAAACCAAAAAAAAGCGAGTGATATTACCCCCACCTTCCACCTGTTCCACTCCAGTTGTCAAAAACTAATTTGTTTCTTGAGCATTCATTGTCATTTCCCATCAGTTCTCTAAGTAAAATTTGAAAAATAAAACACACTAAAAATTTATTTACTTCATGTTGTTTTTTTTTACAAATTCAAAAAAACTATAAATAATATTTGGTATTTTAGACAGTACATTTTATGTTCCAAAATATTAATTTTCGATCCTTTATCTTTCAGCTTTCTAAAACACCAATATGGGTTTTGTGAAGAAAATGTTACACTTTTTACAAATATAAAGAAAATAAATTAATAAATACTTTAACTTTTAAAGCATTAACATTATTGCTAATTTGGTGTTGGAGCCGTCTAATATCACTTAATAAATGTTGACATCCTATCTACAGCATTTTAAACAACGAATACTACGAGTTGCGTTAAAAAAATCAATCATCATTTAAGGAAAAACGATATAAATAGGATATTAACTGTTTTTCAAAATAACAAATTGCTTAAAAATTAAACAATAGAAAGTGGCATTTGAAAATTATTATTTAGTACAGTTTTACGTTTTTCTACGTTTTCGATGTGGCATTTCCCCTGGTTCTGTAAAATTTCCATTCCTATCACGTTTCTTTAAATCTGGTTTTACTAATTGTGACCATCTATGCGTAATGTTATTACCACCATCTAAAAAATAATTATTGTGTTATTTTTAAAGTAAATTTGAATTGAAACCACCTTTAATTATTACCTTCTAAAAATTTGCTTTTATAGTGCTGTTGACTATTTATGGGTATAGTTTGAGTATTATATCTTGATCTAGATTTGATGTGTGATACGGTGCACGATTTTCCTTTGCAAGCCATTAAACGTGCCAACAAATCGTGAAGATATGATTTTTCTTCGGGTTTCAGCGAGTCAGCTCGATTTTGTAGCTCAAAAGGATCTGATAAAAAAAGAGGTTATAAAATAATTGAAGCAACAAGAAATTTAAAGTACAAAACCAAACAAGCAATAAATATGTTTATGTATATGTTCAGTAATTATGAGGATGTCAATAAAATATTTAGTATAAAATATATCATAGGTATAATAATTGACATTCAGCCTATTAGAAAAACTAAACAAGTTCCTCAATATAAATCTTGTCAGGCAGGTGGCCATACACAAAAATAAGGTGCGAGTTATGGTTGCAGTACAGCGAACCCAGCATAACACAGTGCCACAAGAATGCAAGCTTGCATTCTCACGTCCATGACAAAACTCAGGCTCAAAATTCATACCTAAACGAACTTAGAACTGAATTGGAAAATAAAAATCGAAATAGCATTGACGACTGGGCTATCAAGTACATTAATGGATCACCAAAGATCGTACAAAAATTTCAGCATTAACTGGTTCATCTTCAACTTTCAATGATTGTCTCTTATTGTACACAAATTTAGACTATCTTCCCAAAAAATTCAATTAATTTATTTGTCTTATTCAATTTGAAAAACCGGACCTTATTTTAATTACCGAAACGTGGCTTAATGTAAATATTCCAGACAGTTTAATCTCTATTCCTAATTACCAGATTTTTAGATATGATCGAATTGATAGATGAGGAGGAGGAGTATGTATATATGTAGTTCAACATATCTTAGACTGTTTTACAATCTCAACCGTAGATATCTTAGTTCCTCGAATTGATTCTCTTTGTTTGCAGCTGCAACATCTCAATTGCGTATTACCCTTGCAGTTATTTACCGTCCGCCAGACACACCTGTTGCTACTGACGCGGCTCTGTTAGACAAACTCGATGTCCTATGTGGTTCTGAAAATCTGATTATAGCAGGTGATTTTAATTTTCCAGACATTAAATGGCAAATTACTTCTATACCTGACACGCAAAATGTTACCAATCAGTTCATGGAATTTATCCACAATTCTCGTTTTGTTCAACTAATAACCAACCCACGAGATTTTGAGTAAATCTCGAACCTTCTACCATCGATCTACTACTTACCAATGATAAATAACTCTTAACCCCACCGGTATATCTCCCACCAGTTGGAATATCTGATAATGCAGTCATAACGTGTCGTTTACAATTTCAATCATTCTCTTATTGCACATCCAATCATACTATCTTCTCACGCACAAACTTTGCTGGAAGTTTTTTCCTATCTAGACCGACTAGCCTGGATTTATATTATCCCTGAAAACAATGATCCGAGCTGCATGTGGAATATATTTCAAAATACTGTTAATGATTGTGTAAAATCTCATACTAAAAACAAAATAAACAGAAGAACAAGTCTGAAACTCTGAATAAATAATCAACTGCTGTCTATGGTAAAACATAAGAAACACCTATGGAAAAAATTTAAGTGAACCACCAATATAAACGATTTCTCTGCTCATCGAATATTCTCCAATCAACTAAAAGCCGCAGTTATTGAAGCAAAGTATAACTATCAGGAGTACATCGCCAACTGTGCTGATAGCAAAAAGTTCTATAAATATGTTACAACAAATCTGACATCCAATGTGTCCGTACCTCTTCTACAAATAGAAAACGGAGATAAGTGTGCCATCAATACTCAATCTGCTCAACTTCTTTTTGACACCTTCTGTAATGTCTTCACCCTTGAAGATATGACATCACCACTTCCGGATATTTCATTAAACAGAATACAGGCCTCTATTTCCAACGTATCGTTTGCCCCAGACCTAATAAAAAACAAACTTAAAATGCTTAAGTCCAACTCTTCGCCAGGCTTAGATGGTATATCCTCTTTTCTTTTAAAATCTCGTGCTGTCACTCTCTGTTATCCTATTTCCCGTATAATGACTTCTTCCTTTAATTCTCACATCTTGCCATCTATATGGAAGACTGCGTCAGCGACCATATTCAAAAAGAGCAATAAGCTTGATCCAAATAACTATAGACCGATAAGCCTTGTACTAATAGTTTGTAAAGTAATGGAGTCCATAATATGTGATAAGGTAACTGACTTTCTTGTAAACGAACATGTACTTCCCACCCAACAACATGGATTTATCAGAGGACGATCTATCTTAACACTAATCTACTGCAGTCCGTCAATGACTTTTTGTCCAGCCTTAGATGCTGCTCTTCCTAGAGATGTTATATAATTAGATTTTTCTAAAGCCTTTGATAGAGTTCCAAAGCACCGACTTCTCAAAAAGATTGAACACCTAGGAATCCAAGGCAACTTAATAGCTTGGGTAACGGACTTGTTAACTTCCAGACAATTTCGCGTAAGAGTTGGTAATAGTTTCTCTTAAACCAAATCCGTTGTCAGTGGAGTGCCTCAAGGATCAATCCTTGGTCCCCTACTTTTTCCATTATATACTGCCGATATTTCTGTGCACATAAAAAGCTGTGGCTCCTTCTACGCAGACGATACAAAAATTTACGCTAATCCGATTGAGGACTATCAATCTCTTCAATCTGATCTAAGTGCGGTATCAAAGTGGAGTTCAGACTGGTTATTACCGCTAAACGTTGATAAATGTGTTGTTCTTCATATCGGTAAAAACAATCCTAAATTAGTGTATAATATTAATGCCTTAAAGAGAGTATTGTCTCAAAATGATCTCGGCGTTATCATTACTAAAGACTTAATGTGGTCAGAGCATATATTATCAGTAAGCAAACAATCAAACTCTCAACTATTCTTATTAAAAAAGACTTAGATACACTTTTTCATTAAATTGTTTTACATATAGCGTAGAGTTTTCTTTTAAAGGTTCAGGTTTTGGCGAATTTAAAAAGTCTTTTTTATCCTCACTTCCCCAACTACAGAATGGCATCTCCAATAGCATACATACTGGATCATGTACTGGAAACAACTAGTGCAAAAATAGTCCCGACCGGAAGAAGCAAACTAAATCAGCGCGTCAAGTGCATTAATAGGCTAAATCGAAACGTGCCGTTACCATGGCAACCATCATAAATGCGCCGATAGAAGAGACGCGTGTTCGGCGGTTTTATGCATAGCGTGTCAAGCGCTCCGTTCGTTCGGATTAGAAAATCTTTCTATTTTATTATATTTCCAAACACAAGCGAGCCCGGACGGTGGAATTTTTTTTTATCAAGCCCCTCGTTTTTTCATGCAGTGGTCCAGATACCCCGAAATTAGGTACAGTTTTGTAGGTTTCTGTTTTGTAGTTTGTATAGAAACAAAAATGCAGGGCATTTTGTTACAGAAAAAGAAATATTTAGCTATTCAGTTGATTTTTTTTATTAATTTCTACTAAAATTTTGATGAAGCAGCGCGTCATCTAGTGAGCCGCCACTGAGGTGCGATATATTTTCTTTTAATAAAAGGCTCTCGGATTGTAAGAATTGTAATCTCGTAAAAAAGCGGCATGGCCCCTTCCTGAAGTCGCGCGTGCTAACATATGTGCATTTACCAATAAATTACCCTGTATAAAATGTAAAATTAATAAAAAAAATATTATTACCTATTCTTAAATTGTAGAATGTGACAAAACCAGTCGTGAATTCGCAATATAAGAAGTTGTGTGTAGAATTTATTGTTCTAACGCAAGAATAAGTATTATTATTTGCGTTCATACAAAAACAGAACGGCCCGCTGGTCCATAACGGTGCCGTTTTCCAATGTTCGTTATCATGATGGAAGCAATTCATTTTTTCAAAACCACATTCTCTCATTAACTGTTCCTTTTTTCGTTGCTTGCGTTGTTTTCGCCTTAGTTTTTCTTCTTTCAAACGCCGTTTGGTTTCTTGTTCCGAGTCTCTTTCATTAGATACATTAGGATTTTTAATTTCACAGTGGCAAAGATTGGGTTTTATTCTTCTTCGAGGAAGCGGTATCAAATCGCTAGGCTGAAAACAAATAATTTTCATTAGCAAGAAAAAAATTAATTCACACAATTCTGTATTATCTATTTTTAAGGAGATCCTTTCGCCACCAATGTTAAATAAAAAATATTAGATTATGACTAAAATTCATTTTTTTCTAATAGTAGATGTCCTTATTTATCTAATAGTGAACTTTTAACTATACCTTACCGTGCAAATTTTTGAGAATTTTTTTTTTAAAATGTGTGTGTTTGTACAGTGTCTTATGAGAAAGTAAGACTTCAACAACAAATTTTCGAATTATAATTAATTTTACTATTATTTATTGATTAGATGGAGTAGAAAAAAACTAAAAATAAGATTTTTGAAATATTTAGGTTTTGTTTTTTACAATAAAATATATAGGTTACCGTGGAATTTATTGAGAAATTATTATTAAAAAATCACAAAAAATTTTCAACTAGGTTACTTGAAAATTTTTGTGATTTTTTAATATTAATTTTTCAATAAGTTTCTATTGTTTCTATTGTTTCTATTGTTTCTATTGTTTCTATTGTTTCTATTGTTTCTATTGTTTCTATTGTTTCTATTGTTTCTATTGTTTCTATTGTTTCTATTGTTTCTATTGTTTCTATTGTTTCTATTGTTTCTATTGTTTCTATTGTTTCTATTGTTTCTATTGTTTCTATTGTTTCTATTGTTTCTATTGTTTCTATTGTTTCTATTGTTTCTATTGTTTCTATTGTTTCTATTGTTTCTATTGTTTCTATTGTTTCTATTGTTTCTATTGTTTCTATTGTTTCTATTGTTTCTATTGTTTCTATTGTTTCTATTGTTTCTATTGTTTCTATTGTTTCTATTGTTTCTATTGTTTCTATTGTTTCTATTGTTTCTATTGTTTCTATTGTTTCTATTGTTTCTATTGTTTCTATTGTTTCTATTGTTTCTATTGTTTCTATTGTTTCTATTGTTTCTATTGTTTCTATTGTTTCTATTGTTTCTATTGTTTCTATTGTTTCTATTGTTTCTATTGTTTCTATTGTTTCTATTGTTTCTATTGTTTCTATTGTTTCTATTGTTTCTATTGTTTCTATTGTTTCTATTGTTTCTATTGTTTCTATTGTTTTTATTTTTTTTTTTTCGTCTACACCTCATTAGAGTTAGAAATCACATTTGAAGTTGACGAATTTTCAAAAATGCAATATTAACTAAGCAGAGGATCTACCCAAAACCGAAAAACATGGCAAATGGTCTACGAAACAAACAAGTTTTGTGCTAGAATCATTAATAACGGGTGATTTCAAATCATCCAAGTGTCCCACGCTTATAGTTAACGTATGTATATTTCACTCCAAAATACCTTGTATAAAAAAATATTTTTCACATGACTTTTTATTACTCTTCCTCATAACTTCATAGACATTTCGAAATAATAATTACAGTACCAATAGATTGGTCTATCAAAATTGTTAGTTGGTAAAATTGAAAATACAGGGTGTCCCGAAATTAGACGGTTATATTTTAACAGCTATGAATAAAAGTTCATATGTAAACATAGGTCCGGAAACGTTTTGTCTCCAAGATACAGGGTGTTAAAAGTGAAGTCCTGATGACACATTTTAGGACGCACAATTTTCAAGAGAAAAGCATTTTAAGATTTAAAATAAAGAAATTTATTCAGTTTTAATTGATTTTGAAACTTGTTTTTTTCCGAATGGTTTTGTTGGCTTTGGTCTAATAAAACGATTGATGGGAATTTATTTCTTTAATTGTAGACGTTTAAACTATTTATTTAAACTAATTTTAACCTAAGTCTCTCCCCCAAATTTACCCACCTATAAAGATGGTCCAATAAATATAGCACAAAAAGTTTAGCATCTGTACCAAATTTTATTTAGTTATCTTTAAACGTTTAGAAAATATTTACAAAAGAGTATCAGGAGTTCACTTTTAACACCCTGTATCTCGAAAAAGAAACGTTTTTGGACCTATGTTTATATGAACTTTTACTCCAATTTTAGCACCCTGTATATTGAGAATATTTGCGCAGAGACCTTCTCTGCTCTAGTCCAACGACGAACAACTACTAGGCTAATTCTTTTATTCGTAAGTAAGCACGTATTTACTTGTAAGTATTCAGTTTGTATTTTTTATTACACAGATAGAGCTGTCACTTCTGCTGCCGCATTAGAAAGAGTGAGACGCTCTACTAAATTGAGTGGTGATGGTGTTTGCGAGCACGCGTGTTATAAATGACTACGACTTATACTTTTCACTGTTGCCACACTGCAAAATAAATTGCGTAATTTTTTAGAAATCACCTCTAACTTCAATAGTTGAAACTGGAAAAAGACATTAAACTAATAATAACTAGCATTAATAATGAAAATATACTTCCTTGATGAAATTTGAGAGCATTTTGTGCATTTTAGAACCTTTTGTTGAATAAATTCTAAACTATAACTACGAACAATCCTTCTACAGACTCTCCTGTAATATTAAAATAACCAAAAAAAGGTTGACAGCTGTGTGCACGTAGTTTAGATTCGAAAGGAAAGACTTGTATTTCGTGCAAAACTTTTTAATTAAAAAATGTAAAGCGCTTTCAGCATTGTGCCATCATCAGTGTTTATTGTCCACAAACATATCCACTAAGTTCTTAGTCATCCTCTCTCCCAAAATTAGATATTTCTGGAGATTCACAACTTGCTAAATCATAATTATTACTATTAGTAATATTTTCAAATTTAAATTGCTTTATACATTCATTTTTATTAATATTGTTTAACCAAAAATATTACTAGTAGTAATAATTATGATTTATCAAGTTGTGAATCTCCAGAAATATCTAATTTGGGAAGCGAGGATGACTAAGAACTTGGTGGAATTGTTTGTGGACAATAAGCACTGATGATGGCACAATGCCGAAAGCGCTTTGCATTTATTAATTAAAAAGACTTGCACGAAATACAAGCCTTTTCTCCTGTAATAGTTTGGAGGCTATAAGGATAACGACGTGAATGTTTGTAATTTGCCCTTTATTAACAAAATTGGTGTAGTGTAGTTGTTCGTCGTTCGGTCTGAATGACTACTTATGTATACAGAAATAAATAAAATTCAAACCTTTTGTATCCTCTTCGGTTTAGACGTTGTAAAAACACTTGGTCCATTTGTAGTTGCGATAGGCATTTTCTGAGTAAAATTATGCAATCTGTGTCTATGTCTGTGATGACTTGTAGTACCTACAGAAGGCGCTGTTGTAAAATCAGGTTGCATCGAGAAGTTATCAACATTAAAATCACTTGCGTTGGTATTGATATTAGGAAAATTGATTTCTGTAGTTGTTCTGGGACGCCTTTCTTCTGAGAAACTCGGCTTTTTCCTTCTCTTTTTATTATTAAATCTGTTAGCATTACCAATGGGTATCGGTCTATATATTCCAGGGTTGTAAGAAACGCTCACTGGTATGTTCTCTCTTCGGAAAGTCAATTCGTTGAATGCGTTCAATTCTGTGCCGTTTAATTTTTCCGACGAGTCAGGCGGTCTAGAATTTTTTAAATGTCTTCTTATTTCTTTTAGAGTTTCTAATTTGTGCTTTAATTGTTGTATTTCGTTTTCAACTCGATGTCTGGATTGCCGCCATGTTTTCTTGTCTTTGTAAATATCGTTGGAGCAGTTTATTTTTCCTTTCTGTACGAAACACGCCGGCCTGCCTATTGAATTTGTGTCTAATCCCAGTTTAATATTAGGACGTGTGATTATTGATTCGTTTACAAGCTGAAAATCAAATTAAAACTTATAAGATATACATTTAAGGAAATACTGAGAAAATTAATAATATATCTCATACCATCCCAAGGTGTTATTTGCCGCCCCTAGCAACCACCGACCGGAAATTTAAAATGACAGACATTTAGAGCGTAGTTTTTCTAGTAACTATATGAAGAAAAGAGTTGGTTACATAATCAACATTTAAAGATATTTAAAGAAAATTTGTCAAAAACAAAAAATAATGCAAGCCATGTAAGCAGCCGCAGCAGCTTCATTTCTAAATCTTTCGTGTCATTTTAATACTATGTTTTAGCAATTTAAAGTCCTTTTCTATATTCTATATTTATTCAATAAAAAAAACCTCGTATGTGTATAAAATTCTAGATACTACAAAATAATTCATTTTATCCTTCGTCTGTAGGTTTTTGTAATGCCCTGTTATGCTAATTTACTCTAATTTTAAATTCTTCACATTAATATGACAATGACAAAATATTTTGTGTGACCTATTGTGGCAATTCTGTTTATTTGTTAGTACAAAAAGTTTCGTAAACTTTTGATTTGAAATCAAATAGCTAATAAAATTTGTCAAAAGTGATTAACAGGTTAGAAAAAAAAAATGAAATTGTAATTTATATGGGACAAAAACAAAAACTATTTACTGAAGGCAATGTTATATAATGAAAACCAATCCAACAAAAATGTATCTGATCTAATAAAAAAATTATTCAAACTTGGTCTGTAGACAATAAAAAATGTGATAAGAATAATTATTGTGGTGCACAAGATAAAGCGAAGCAATAGGCAAGAAGTTCTTGTTTAAGTAAAGGACCCCGCTCAAACCTTATGGAAAAGTGATCTATGTGGGAATTGCCTGAACTTTTAATATTGTATTGAGGAAGCCTTACTGATTAAAAGTTGCCATTGCGCCAAAGTCGAATAACCAATAGTTTCGGAGATACTGGCCAATGAATGTCTCATTCGCTAAACGATCGGGTTCGTACTTTACTCTATGGAAGTTTCTGTTTTCTATCTTCTTTTGAACTATACAAGGGAATTTTTTAAGACTGTTATAAAAAATTAATAGATGTCAATAGTGATGTTGAAAAAGTAACCATTCGAGTACTCGAGTATCGTTACTTGAAGATACCGAAGTAACGATCAAAAAACCAAATGATTACATTATTACTCGTATACTACGGTTCGCAGTGTAGAACATTCGCATTGGCTATGATAGGGAATGTCTGGAGGATGTGAATACGAATGCTTACGAATACGAATACTTACGAACACGGATATTTTCGTTACATCGTGATCGATGTATATTTACTATTTACACATACAATTATAAAGTAAACATTTTTAAAAGGGGTTTTTGCCTCACAGGGTTTCGGAATATAATAAATTTTCTTAAACAACGAATACTGGAAATAACAATAATCTACGTCTTTACTCATAGCAATTCCATAATAGTCAAAGTAATCAAATTAACGAATATTTGGAATGATTACTTGATACGAAAGTAACGAATACCTACTCGAAAGTAACTCCATTTCTAATTCTCAACAAGTTATCATTTGTTTTTGTATATTTTTTAGTATTTGTCATTGTCATTCTGTCAAGTTAGGTTATATAATTTTCTTGTTCTGTAAAAGAGTGTCAATTAAACCTACTATCACATACTTTGATTACTATACGAGGCAAGAGAGAGGTCCGACACGCCCAACATAGGGCGCGGCCATTTTGAACCCTGTGACACAGTTTACAGCTAAAGAATCAGATCGCTCACTCTGCGTCGGCACTTTGGATCTCAATGTTTCAATTTATACACGGCGCAACTCGGATAATACAATATATGATAACCGCCTATAATAAAACAGCAGTCTTCTGCGTATCCTGAATTTGTATCCCTGAAGTGGATGTTATTTTGGAACTTTCAACTGGTCCGAGTGAGCTAACTGATTCTTTAGCAAAAAACTGTGACTTCTAAAATAATATTCACTGACACTGACAGCAGCAAGCAAAATATCAGGTGCGTTTTAATCATCCGCTTCTGCTTCCGGAATTGTCGGTTTAGTCGTTTTAACCTGTCAGATTAAAACAAGAAAACCAACAATTCCGAAGCAGAAGCGGATGATTAAAACGCACCTATTAAACATATTGCGCCAAGATGTAGGCAACACGTAATAAGGGTTCAAAATGGCGGAGTTTTCTATCTCCTTTTAAAAGGCACTCAGAAAGCTGCGCAGTGCGACCATTCTCCGTATAGTAAAAGAAAATCAAAGTATGTGCCTACTATACTCTGTTTTTAAACTAAGAGGAGCGATTTGAATTTAAGTTGGCAATTCTGTAGACTTCTAATTGGTCAGATTAAAGTCAGTTTCACACATCACTTTTTAGCTACTGTTGACAGGGGTTGACAGTTCTATTTTCGATTCTGACATTTTATAATTTGTTTTGTTATTGCTTTGATATCTTATCATTATTACTTAGTTTTTTATTTTATTTCTTTAATAACAGTTCTTTTCAAAACTTTAGTAAGCAATTGTATTGAATTTTTACGATTATGGATCCTTCTACATCGAATACTATTATAACAGTTCCTCGCGGAGTCCATCAAAACAACGAAAACGAATGAGTTTAGGCTATTCGTCTCTCAGAAAAGCAGTAAATAATAAATATGTACAAATAGGTATTGGATAATAATACGAAAACCAAAATTGTTGATGTTATATCCAAAATTTCTCAAGCTACCAGTAAGTTTTACTCATTACTTTAAAATTAAAATTAATATTAAATACTCAATATTTTTCTTACAGGTCAAAGTCAACTACTTACCGATTATTGAAATAATACCGCAATAATGGAACAATGTCTAGTCTAAAAAGTATTTATGGAAGACGAGGAGTTCTAAAAACATTTGATTATGACGATGATAAATGCTATTCGAAGATTAGTACACGATTTATTTTTCAAAAATGAGTTTTCTACATTGAATAAAATTTTGCAAGAATTGAAATATTTAGATTTGCCACAAATATATTATTCATCTTTATATACTTTCTTGAGATATAATAACTAAGTAAATTTGTAACTTTGACCAGTCAAATGTACTGTATGTTTATTATGTATATATTTTTATATATTTGAAAAGAAATTGTCAAAGTGTATTGATAGAACACTATATACGTAGATTTAAAATCCATCAAACAATATAGAAAATAAAACAGACCAAGCTTCTACTTTGATGAAGATCATAATAAGCTTTATCAACAGGCCTGAAAAGCCAAAAGCAGGTGCCTTAATATACGTGCTAATTCTGAAGGTTTGGTAGAAAGTGCATTTACCTTGACGAGACGAAATCCGAAGTATTTTAGAATTGGTTTTCTACATTTTTTACAAAGTTTTCTAATTGTCCTATGATTGTCATGGAAAATGTATCATATCATAGTCGAAAAGTTGAAAAAATTCCTTTGTCATCAAGAAAATCTGACAGGAATGGTTACAAAACTAAAAATATTAAATTTATTTAAATATCAAGTGATATCAACTTTTACACCTAATTTGGCAACATAAAGATGCACATAATTTGAATGTTGTCAATGTAAAGGCTAAAGAAACCAATAAAGTTGTGTAGTGGCTGCCCCATATCACTGCGAGTTAAATCCCATAGAATTGATAGAGGCACAAATAAATCAGGTGGCAGCTAAAAACACAACGAATCTTCTGATGTAGATTAACATATTGAGTACTTAGTGTTTTTTGTTTCTGATTCAATGTAAATATCAAGATGTACTTTGTCTTTTCACTTATTATGTATTTTTGTTTTATTTTTCAAACTTTTATTATTAATTAAAATATAACAAATTTACAAAATAAAGATACTACTATTCATATGTTGTTTTTCTAACCCATATTAAAAAAAAAATACAAAACTACAGTGTAGTATACAAAAATTACAACTGCTCTCATATTTATTGTAAAATTGTTGTATCTTGCACACATTTAAGTGCCAGTCTGTATTTAACTTAAAAATTCTTGTTCTGCAAGGTATAAGTGGTAAGAGTAGATTTGAGCAGCCGTTTTTGAGAAATCTGGATTTATAAAAAAGGCGTCCTTTAAATTTTACAATAAAAATGGGAGCAGCTTTAAATATTTTACCCCACAAACCCCTCCCAAACAAATATTTTAAAAATACATTAATTATTAAAAAAATTATTTATGAAAAACTAAATTGAACTTTAAATACTTTGTATTTCTGAAATCATCCACTTTTGGACTGATATAAGTTGGGTTAAATCGTTATATTTAAGCCTCAGGAATGGTAGCATTTTTTCCGCAATATTATAAATTGGTAAATATTGCTTTTTTGTTGTTCTACTTAAAAAAAAATACAACTTTATTACTAATTTTTTTTTTAACTAAAAATTAATGAATTTCTAATCAAAATGATTAAAATATAACTAAATATTAAAGTAAATTTTATTTATTTGAAAATAAACCATTTACAAAATTGTTAATTAACATTTAAAACTACAAAATATTTTGGATATATTTAAAAGTGCTATTGCCATCTGAATATGTCCATAATTTGTGGCCTCCAAAACTTTCATTATTTAACCTAAAACAAATACCTTGTTTTATTATTTTAAATAAATAGCTTGGTACTTAAATAGTCAAAAGCATAAAGTGTTATCACTGTAATATTTGGTGTGGCACCCTTTTTTAAACATTAAATTGCTATAGGTATGTAAAAGGACAAGAAAGCAACTCAACTAAATGTAGTTTATAAAATAGACTGCAAAGATTATAACTACACTTACACATATTAAACTCTGCGAATGTGTAAAAGGTGTATTTTAATTTAATCAACTAGTTGTAAGCTACCTACACACTATCACAAAATATGGGTTTCGTTCATGATCATTTTAAAGTGTTTGTTCCTAAATGTTTTTTTAAATTTTAAAAAGCTGTGATTGTACCATAAGATTTCGAAACATATGTAGTGCTGAATTATTAAAAATATCTACCGATCATACTAAAGATATTTTATTTGTTTGTAAAAAATATATTAAATTGGGTGTAGGAAATCCTTCTACTGACACAAAGTTACAAATTACCTTTTTTTATGCCTTAATAATTTTTATTTAATTATTTGTCTATACAATAAATGATCATACAAAATTAAGATACATATTATCTTACCTGCAAATAAACATTTAGTTTTCGAGAGGCTTGAAGGATGTCTCAAAAAAATATACCATCTGCTTTATATTGTATAAAAATATGTTTTCAAGAAGACCAAAGACATTCTGATACACAATGTGGAATTTAAGCAACAATTATAAATCCTATCTACAAAAAACAGGAGAATGATAAAAACCATTATTATTATAGTAAAAGCTGGTAGCATTGCACTTTCTTGGACTTCTACATACATTTAATAAGCTGTTGTCCACAAGTTTACACTTTCGACCGTTGAATATAACATCTTGTTAGTGGAGACAAAATTCGTATAGATTTGATTTATTTCATTTCAAAACACTTGTCTGCAAACATATCGTATCGTACTTCAGAACTTTGCTACATTTTACCTGAAGAAAGAACCCTTATTTAATTAGGAAATCCATACAACTTATGGTAATCTTGTAGTTTAATTTTAAGAAAAAATATTACAAATTAAACTATACCTATAAATATAAAAATAAACTTTATTTTTTGTACCTGCCAAAATTCTTCATTTTAAATAAGCTTTTCTTCAACTACATATTTTTCAGTCCCTCCTAAATATGTTTTGTAATAGGTAGGTAATAATAGGTGCTTAATTTCATTTTAACAAATAGAACTGGCATACCTATTTTTCTAATTTTTCCATCAAATTGAAACACCTACTATTTACTTTCTTTTCTGTTATTATAATAGATATATAATTTTCTAATTACAGTTACTTATAAAACAATGAATAAAATATCGAATTAAAACTCTATGTTAAACTCAAAATGTAAATTATTTTGCGATTTAGTGTCATCTTTATTCGTTGGTTATCTAAAACTTTGACTTCAATGAATTCATAACAAAGCTTTGAAATGTTTTTCTTGAAATGATACAAGACAAATTCAAATTTACCGCTAAAATGATATCTAGTTACTTTTTTAGTTATTTTTCCCTGTGTAAATAGGACTTTTCAATTCGCTCCTCTTAGTTTAAAAACAGAGTATAGTGAGAGTTCATTATTTTTTACAAAGACTAAACATGGCGCATAATGATGTCATGCTATGCTTCATTTTCGTCCAAATCTAATGGCACGTCTTGATGGCGTCAATGATATTGATAAGAGAAACATTGCTATTCAACGACGTCTTGCCAAAAACAGACCCTTGATCGATATAGATGATCAAACAAGAGCATATGCGGCTTGTAACAGGTCGATTATAAGAGAGTTGCGTGTTCTTGACCAAGAACCAACCTGTATGCGATTAAACGTTTTGACACAAACAGCTAACCAAACGTGTATGATATGCAATTCGCCCGATGCTCGTCGCTTAACACTTGACGCAAGAGTTGATGTATTCGTGAAAGTTGATATATATTCCCTCAAATACAAAATGTTGTAATTTACATGTTGACGACACTGGGCGACTTTTCCAAAGGCTAGTGACAGGTTTACGCTCCGTACTTCGTCCTTGTATCATTCCAGGTAAGGAAATGCAAAGCTTTTTGTCAAAACTGCGTCAATTGGCTTAAGCTGGCTTGACTATCATCAATGAGAATGACATTGCCGATGTGGACTTTCAATGCATTTCACCGGTGACCAAAGAACAGTTTCATGAATTGTATACGTTTTTCGACCCTGTGCCCACCGACGGCGGTTTCCGTTGTGTTAAAAAAAAGGATCTCTTAGTGTTTCTCTGCAAGTTAAGGCAGGGACTATCAGACGAATTCATAAAGGCTATATTCCATTATGGTAGCCGACAACATGTTAGTACAATTATTGCTACTGTCAGAAAATCTTTAATTCAACGATTTGTTCCCAACAATATTGGGTTCCAGGCTATTAGCCGCCAGAATTTCATGGCTCAATATGTTCCCGAGTTCGCAAACACCTTGTACAATGATACTCCCTATATTCCTAAAGCCATTGTCTATATGGATGGTACTTATGCCTACGTTCCAAAGAGTAGCAACTTTCGCGTCTAAAGACAGACTTTTTCATTTCCTAAAGGACGACACCTTGTGAAACCAGCTCTACTTGTTACTCCTGATGGTTATATATTGGCCATTCAGGGCCCCTATTTTGCGGACTCCAGAAATAATGACGCGGCTATGTTGCGCAATGAGTTGGACAATAACGGCGACATTATGCGCAACTGGTTTCAGGAGGGTGATATCCTAATCGGTGATAGGGGATACAGAGATGCAGGTCCGTTGCTAGAGGCTCTGGGTATTACCCAATACATACCCCATGTTGTTGAACGTGGCCAGCAGCAGCTCTCCACTGAGAATGCTAATGCTTCACGGCTTGTTACAAAGACCCGATGGATTGTGGAGGCCAGAAATGGCCACATCAAATCCATTTTTAAGTTATTCGGACAGCTTATTCATACTTCTCATATTGAATACCTGGGTGAATTCTATCGAATATCGGTAGCTATTATCAACAAATACCACCCATTAATTACTATGGAAGGCTACAACGCAGACATGGTACGTGAAATGCTGGCCAAGGCGAATGAAGTCAATGTTGTAATGGCTCGTGTGGATGAATTCAGATTGAGAAACCGAAATGCGATGTGGATACATATTGATGCGGCTAACCTGGATGACTTTTCTCGTTTGGATTTAGACTATCTGGGAGATATTACGGTTGTAATATATCAAATCAATCTTGCACCTTCATATATTCAGGACAAGTTGCGGCAGGATGCCATAGAAGAGCTCCGCATAGATCAGTTTAATGCAGAACCATGATTTCTCCGAGCAAGAGTGTACTCACGATTCCGAAACGCCACCACGTACCAGATATGGATTGCTTATACGACTATTAACGAACTTGAAGAAAACGATCAGGAAGAAGATGTCATTATTGGACATTATTGCACTTGCAAATCGGGTGCTAGAACGCTGGGCTGTTGCAGTCATATTGCATCCATATTATGGTACTTGGAATATGCAAGACATAAACCTGAAATTCGGTACCATCCGTCTAACCTTCTTCATAGCGTTTCTGACGCTGCCAACCGGCTAGTGCGATAGCGGCCCCATACAGGTATCCAATGGGTTAAATTGTAACAAGGCTTTCCTTATTAATTATTTTATTAATTGTTTGATTTAATTGTTGTTTATGTTTATCTCCACTGCGAACCGTATAGTATACGAGTAATCAATGTAATTTGGTTTTTTGATCGTTACTTCGGGTATCTTCAAGTAACGATACTCGAGTGCCGAATTACTTTTTCAACATCACTATTGACAACTATTTATTTTTCATAACGGTCTTAAAAAAGACCTTTAAAATAGTTCAAAATAAGATAGAAAACAGAAACAAACATCCAATGAGTAAAATACGAAAACGATCGTTTAGCGAATGAGACATTGATTGGTCAGTCTTTCCGAAACTATTGGTTATTGGACTTTGGCGCAATGGTAACTTTTAATCAGTAAGGCTTCCTCTATACAATATTAAAAGTTCAGGTAATTCCCACATAAATCACTTTTCCATAAGGTTTGAGCGGGGTTCTTTAGACCTATAGCTTTCAGTATATCTTTATCGGTTATAAGCAGGTGGTGTTAGATTAAGCTCAGAACACTAGAGGCCGCAATGTTGGGTTTATTGTATTCTTCTATTTTTTCCGTATTTGGATACTATTTTTAAACCCCTATTTTCTTCACAATTTTTTTTCAACTCATTATTTTTCTTTTTTGAGTTAGGATATTTTTAAAATTTCAACCCTTCTTAATCCCCAGTTTAAATTCAGAATTTTTCAGAATCAATAGGTTTGATTTTTTTATTTCATGGTATACGACTTTTCGTTTTTGATTTACGATTTTTTCTTTAATTTAAAATGAATAGGCTTTGTTACCATAAAGAGCTTGGTTTTTGCTGAAACTATTCTTTTGGTATTTGATTTCTATTTTTCTTTGGTTATACAAGTTTCCCTACTAAGTGTTCCTGAAGCGGTCTTTCAGCTTCTAGACCGAAAAGGGTGCATTACGCCATGGCTAAAGCTTCACATTTGAAGATAATATGGTGTAAGATCGCGGACACTCAGTATACATAATTTTAAATTAAAAAATTACTTACTCTCAGCTCATGAATTTGATCTTCTACGTCTTCCATGTCATTTTCCAAATGGGCTAAGTTTAACGTTCTCTGCTCTCGTGGCAACAAGTGAGATTCATTTGTATCTTCATCGTCTTCGAAAATCATTTCGTCGAGGTCGGAATCGCGTTTTATTCTATCAGGCCTCAATGACTTTCTAGAAATAGTCTGTAACTAAAATATTTCGAAGCAATATAGACATTACAATAAATTATTATTACCGATAATAAACAGTAGATACAGTTTTATTTTATGATAGTGCAGATTGGCGAGGACAGTCAGAAGGAGAAACTAAAATCGAGAGAGATAGAGATACACTCAAATTTAAAGGGATTTTAAATGGATTTCATAAAAGGCGGCTGGTTATTTAAGTAATATGTTGTCATCAGGTGATTTCAATCCAGTTACGTGTCAACTAGTATTAATTAATTCAAATAGGGCGTTGTGATATCAATAATATATATTTAATGGAAAAAAAAGGAACTGATGTCAATCCCATCGTCTTGGAGTTTGTTTCATTTTTAGGAAAGCAAGCATTATTTAAAAACGTCAAAAAGCTGAAGGGCACTGGAGTAGCAATAGCCAACGAGACCTCGTATGAAGACAGAATCAATAATAAAGTCCTTACACGTCATTTAAAACAAGCTAAAGACCAACAACTATCGGCAAGAATAAGAGGTTTCTCATTGGAGGTAGAAAATAAATTATATTCGGTAGAAGAATTGAAGGAGCTGGAAGAAAACGCGGAAAGTTCTAGTGAAAGTGAGGAAGTAGACTGTGGGACTAGTAAGGTACAGTCGACGTCGTATACAGCGTATTCATTATCCAATCCAACCGAAAAGAACGTATCCACAGAAACCAGTCAGAAGAGAAGAAGATCAAAAATACATTATAGTCCAAAAACAAGAAGTCAAAACAAGTTTTTAAATAAAAATAAATAGAGTAAAAAAGAAGAAAAGAAAATAAAAAAAAATAATTTAATTTAAAACAAGCAGATTCTTTTGTAAATTTACACTATTATATTTTGCTTACTTTATTTATAACCTTGGTTGAATTATTTATTGGTTTGTTTGGTATTTTTCTGTTTAGATTTGATAAACATGGAATTTAAGAATTTGTGCATTGGTCATTGGAATTCTCGTTCATTATTGTCAAAAATAAATTTTATTAGAAACGAACTTGGAAATAAAAAATACGACTTATTTGCCATATCGGAATCCTGGTTGAAAAAGAACATATCTGAAGATTCGATTAAAATTGCTGGGTATAAATGTTATAGGAATGATCGAAATGATAAAATTGGAGGAGGTGTTTGTATTTATGCTAAGGAATTTTTAAAAATTAAAATAATAGACGATTTCAGCAGTAATGAATTTTACGAACAGCTATGGGTAAGTCTAAGGGTAAATAATAAAACCGTTTGTATTGGAGTCATTTACCGTCCCCCCGAGACTAACATTAATAAATTTTTAGATACATTTGAAAATGATATATCTCTACTGTCTGTTGAATTTAATAACTTAATATGCGTTGATGATTTTAACATTGACATGTTAACCGAAAGTAACTCAACGAATACTCTCAACTCACTATTCGAGGGTACTGGTCTAATACAAATAGTAAATGAGCCAACACGTAAAGATAGTCTATTAGATTATATAATTATTAATGATCATTTAGATTTTTCTAAATTAAATGTCATAGATGTAAATTTATCTGATCACTTTCTCACAGAATGTACATTAAATATTAAAATTACAAAAAACAGTCATGAAACAAAAACGTACGGAGACTTTTCTAAAATAAATTTAGAAAATTTTAATGTTGATCTTAAATCAAAGCCTTGGTACTTAGTTTATGAAAATGCCACTATTAATGATAAAATCAAAATATTCAATAAACTTATTACCCAATTATTCGATGTACATGCTCCACTTAAGACCATAACCTTTAAAAATAGTCCTAAACCATGGATCACTGACAATATAAAATTTATGATTAATTTACGAAATAAGGCGTTTACTAAATACAAAAAAACAAAACAAAAATCTCATTGGGATTATTATAAGAATTTAAGAAATTATATTACACAAGCCATACGTGCAGAAGAAAAAATCTATTTCAATCAAAAATTTTCTAATGCCAATAATAAACAAAAATGGAAAATAATAAATAAGTTTACCGGATATAAGAATAGTAATAAGTTTCAACTTTCCTCGAATTTCGATGCGAATGACATCAATAAAAACTTCTTGAAAATTAATGGTTCTGTCATTAACCCTCACCCGGAAACTCAAAATTTTTACCAAAACAACTTTAAAGGAAATTTTGAAAATCTGCTTGAATTTAAAGAAATAGATGAATATAATATAATTAAAATTATTCTTAAAATTAAAACCGAAGCTTGTGGAACCGATGGAATTAATGTCACATTAATTAGATATCTTTGTCCCTACCTAATTCCACATATAACTTACATTATAAATTTTTGTCTAAAAAATTCTATTTTCCCAAATATATGGAAAGAGGGACTAGTTCTTCCTATTCCAAAAGTCACTTCCCCTGAAAACTTAAATGATCTTCGTCCCATAATTATTCTGCCTACACTTTCAAAGGTTTTGGAGAGAGTTGTAGAGGAACAACTTCGAGAACACATTGATAAATATAAAATTCTACCACTCACACAATCGGGATTTAGATCGGGATATAGCTGTGGTACGGCCCTATTAAATATTACGGATGACTTTCTGAAGGAATCCGACGCCAAAAATGTTGGTTTATTAATTCTGCTTGATTATAGTAAAGCATTCGACATGATTAATCACAAATTGTTTTTATCCATTTTGCATTTTATTGGCTTAGGACCAAACGCAATAACATTTCTTAGAAACTATCTGTCGGGAAGAACACAGAAAGTATTATATAATGGTGTATCGTCTAGCGTAGAGCAAGTTGGGCGAGGAGTAGCCCAAGGTTCAATCCTAGGCCCTCTTTTTTATACAATATATACAAACAATTTGTGTTCGATTTTACAATATTGCAAAGCTCATATGTGTGCTGACGATACGCAGTTATATATGTTTTTTAACAAAAACGATGAATCAGAGTGCATTCAGAAAATAAATACCGATCTAAATGCCTTGGTGAAAGTATCTACCCAACATAATTTGGAGATTAATTCAGAAAAATCAGCTGTTATGTTTTTTGGAGCTGCTTCTTCTAACGTGTCTATAAAAATTAATGATGTGGCTCTACCAACTGTTCAAAAAGCAAAAAATTTGGGGATAATACTAGACAATCGACTGAAATTCACAGATCATGTTTCTTATGTTCTACAAAGATCCTTTTTTAAACTAAAAACTTTATATCCTAGCAGACATTTATTTGACAAAAAAATAAAGATACAACTCTGTGACTCTCTCGTTCTAAGTAATGCAAATTATTGTGATTTTGTATATGGACCTTGTCTTTCAGTAACAGATTCAATAGGTTACAAAAACTACAAAATGCCTGCCTTCGACTTATATATGGAATTAAAAAATTTGATAGAATTTCCCATACATTAGCAAATGCCAGATGGTTAAATATGTTAAATAGGAGAAAACTTCATTCATTAACCCTGTTTCACAAAATTTTAATTAAAAAAAGTCCTCCATATCTTTGGAATAAAATTATTTATCGTTCTGATGTTCATAGTAGAAATACACGAAACAAAAATTCTATTGAGATTCCAAAACACCAAACACAACAATTTAAAAACTCGTTTTCATACCAGATAGCAAAGGAGTATAATAATATTCCTGTTTCCCTAATTAATTTATCCATAGCATCATTTAAAACAAAAATGTTTAAAATATTATATGATGACCAATTCACAAATTTGTAAGTTTGTAATTTGATTTTGTTTGGTTTATATAAATTACTAGGATCCATCGGCACCGCTCGTCGTTATTATCTTTCCTTAAAAAATAAAAGTCTTTTGTTTCTTGATGACCAGCGATGCAAACGGCCCATAGTAGGTACTTTTTTGTTTGTTTTAGTTCTGTTTATTATATACATGTGTTACACCCTATTAGATTAGTTTAGATTACATTTGCAGGCCTTTGAGGAAGAACAGCTTGAGCTGATCTTAGGACCTTTTCACCATGTTTATTTCTGGTTCTTTAATTTTTTTTTTAAATTGTATTTTATTTTTTTTTCAAATATTGTATTTTAAATGGTCAATAAAAATATTATTATTATTATTATTATTAAGTAGAGGCAAAATGGTCCAATATCTCTCTGGAACGCCTTTTCAAAGGGTAGCGGTCGATATTCTTGGACCGTTGCCAACAACGGATTCTGGGAATACATTTTTAATGGTCGCGAAGGATTACTTTTCAAAATGGCCCGAAGTAGCTGCCTTACCCAATCAAGAAGCTAAAACAGTCGCCGAAGCCTTTACTGAAAACGTTATTTCAAGACATGGGGTCCCGCTAGAAGTTCACTTTGACCAAGGTAGTAATTTTGAGTCCAAATTATGGCCGGCCGTAATTAATATACTAGGTACAAAGAAGACAAGAACAACTCCTCTTTATCCCCAATCCGATGGTATGGTAGAAGGATATAATAGAACAATCTGTCTGATACCTATATTCCTGCTAGCATAGCGCAATTCGGTGCATGAATCAACAGGATATAGATACTCCAGCAATGTTGACCCATCGACATTTTAATCGGTTCGGATCTTCCAAATTTAGACAAAGTTAAAATTCCTAAATTTGTCCAAGAATTACAGGATCGACTTAATCAGATTCAGGAATTTGCAAAAAAACATCTTAAAATCACAAGTGACAGAATGAAGACAAGATTAGACTGCAAAACAAATGAGTTAAAATTCGAAAGAGGTGATGCAATGTGGCTCTATAATCCGAGAAGAAAGAAAGGTCGCAGTCCAAAACTTCAGCGGAACTGGGAAGGTCCCTACACTATAATAAAGCGCATCAATAACTTGGTCTATCGTATCCAATTATCACCAAGGAACAAACCAAAGGTTGTTTATGATGGTACAAAGATCCTCCCAAATGGCTTAAACCAGAAGACGGAAATGAATTCATTCGAGACGAATGAATTCCAAGAAGGGGAACAGAGTTACGCCACTGCCCATAAACCCGGCTTAAGGGGATCTGACAGATAAGTGGGGGATCAGTGTCAAGATGATGTTTGAAATTATAAAAAAAGTTAATTATATACATTTTAAAATAAAATTGTTTTATATAACCATGGGTCGTTTCAGAGCTTGATTTTTGCTAAAAATTTCAAATTGATATCTCTTTTATTTCTGTGTTAAGATTTATTTTTTTAATATTTCAACCCCCCCCCCCCTCCTCAATCACCCAACTTAATTCAGATTTTTTCAAAATCAAACGACTTATAAAGCTTGATTTTTGCTAAAAATTTTAAGTTGACATCGTTTTTATTTTTGAGTTAGTAATCGTATTAAATTACGGGTTTTGAGCTTACATTAAATTGTAATTAGATGACACAAAATGGATTCTATGTATTTTGAGGTGATCTTTTCGAAAAAAGGCAAAACGAAATGTAGCTGTTTTTCGAAAGTGCCAAAATTTTGGCTTTTGTCAATTTTTCAATTTTGCGCAGGCGCATCTCGGAAATAAATCAATATTTGCAAAACGCAGTTTACGACATTTGAAAGCTTAGGAAAAATGCTAATTTTTATGTCTCTTGAGAAATTTTGATCCGATGCACCGTTCTCGCGGTATGGACGATTGAAATTTGTTTAGTATTTTGAGGCGGCGAAGGTCGAAAAATTGAATTTGTTAAATGTTCAAACACTAAATTCTCTATAACTTTGGTAAAAATTAAGATATTTGAAAAAACAAAAATGCGTTTTGAACTTAAGGGATGTGACTATTGATTCCCAGAAGGGGGCAAGAGAAATCCCAAAATTGGGCATATGGCGGAAGGGCAAAGTGTACCGCGGGCCTAATTTCATTGTTTGCCTATAACGCCCAAACTATTTAAATATTTTTAATGCCACTTACAGAGCTTACTCTTGAATATATAATCTTATACATGTATGAATTTCACCGAAATCGGATTATAATTGGCCAAGATATCAAACATTTTTCCCTAAAAAAAAACTAAATTTTTTTTCGAAAGTTTGAAGTAGCACAAAAAGGCCAAAAATGCACCCAATGGCTCAAAACTTTTTTATTTAGTACTTTATTGTGTCTAGAATACGATTACATTACGTAAAATTCTGCAAAAATATTTTATCTATTTTTTTGACCACTGTTCATTGAGTGACGACCAAAAAACACGGTTTTTGAGAAAAGTTGCCTAAAATTGACGATTTTCAGTTTTTTGGTCTGAAACCCAAATTTGATGTCTTCTGAATGTGTATACAAAGTTTAAAGTGTGTATGGTTCTTCTAAGTTGTAGAATTCTCCCGACAAAAGTCCCATTACACGCGCTCCGCGGGATCCAAAACTCGTGTATTCACTGCATTTCTGTAATTTGATTTTTTTTGTGATTTCCAGTTTTAAATTTCTTACATACCTAAATTTATTAGGCCTAAAATTTATTAAATTGTATTTTATGACTTGTTATAAGACGTTTCTTGAGTTTTGTTCAAAAAATAGAATTACCGCAAAATTAGCCGCACGTCGTATCAAGGATAGCCATGGTCTCGGCGTTCACTATCCGACAAGTTTAAACTCCAAACGGTCATATTATTACAAATTAAATCGCTTGATAGTGTTCATCGGCATAGATTTTTAATAACCGTGTTCAGCAAGCTCTGTGTACACGTGTTTTTTCGGACTTCTTCACCAATTTATTGAGTAAGTACGTTCCTAAATTAAGAAAATTCTATCACAGTGCTATAATTTTTTTGTTTCCAAGTTGCAATAGCTGGCCTGTGTTTATTATGTCATCAGACACTTGCAGAGGGTGAACTTATCCCAATTAGACCGACAGGATTGAAAGGTCTGCAGACGGTCAGCAAAGAGAGGGGGGATGATTTTTCTTTAGAACCATGTTTTATATTGCATAAGAGGTGTCGCAAACACTATGTAGCTCGACGTTACGGAAGAGTTTATTTATAAAACCTGGGATAGGCATAAAAGGGCCGCGATTGGCAGTGCCAAAAAAAAAATGAGGATGGAGCATCCATCAACCGAGAAGAAAACCAGATGTTAGAGAACAAGAAACAAGCTTATCATCAAGTTGGAACTTACACTCAGGCTTAGGATTAATTTCCTAACATTTTTAAAGTATACCTTTTTGTGTATTTTTTTGTGCTCTTTCCGATGGCGAAGTTAGTTTTTTCAAATATATTTTTTGTTAGATGTTTTCGGAAAACCCGGAGAAAATCATATGGGAAAAAAATTAAAAAAAACTACGCCTTCCGGTTTCCTGCAAATTCCCGAAAAATTATGGCAGATTTCGCCGCGGGACTTATTTTATTTGAGAGCCAACAAAAAAATACGCAACTTCTCTCATGGGCACATATGTCTAACATTTATAATTTCGCCACAAATTCATCTCAAATTTCATGTTCATGGTTCTGATCAAAGAAACGAAAAAACTTTTTGGTAAAAGCACTTCTGGCGGCGAGAAATACGCCATTAAAACTACCTGTGCAATGAATTTCCAAACTATTTTTGCCTCCTCTTTCGATTGGTGCATTTATTTTTACTATCAGAATGATACTTGCCCAGATAATTAGCATTTTTACCATGGATAATTCCGGAAAACCCGGTTTTTCCTAATTTAAAAAAAATTGAAAAACAGCTACATCTTTTTTTTTTTTTTTTCGGGAAGATCACATCAAAATACACAAGTTCCACTTTGTTTCATCCAATTACAAATTAATGTAATGTAAGCTCGAAGGGGCTTTTTTTCGTTATTTAATTGGACTATAGGATTTTTGTTTTTAAATTATCACCGCCTCTTCACCGATGAAAGAAACTATGAAGGAGGAATTGAGGTCACATGCGGCATTCTCCTCGTGTCAAATTAGGCTGCATCTTGGTGGCGAGGGCTTTGAGCCTTTTTTTGTATTTTGAATCGCGGTATTGACTTTTGATCCAGGGTTGTGAAGTGTGCCCCAAAAGTGAAATTGGTAAGCAGCGGCGTGCCCACCGGGCATGCAGGGACCGCGGTGCAGGATGCCCCAAGTTATGTAAGAGCCCCCAAATTAAACAAGGTATTCGCATTTTTTCTTGTTTGTATCAGAAAAGAAAAGTATACTCTTTTTTTCTTCTATTAATTCTTAGCTTTGCTTTTGCTTGAACCAGAGGATGAATATTATGATTTTTAATATTTGGTTAATTTTTATTTTGTGTTTATTACATTGTCTTTGATCTCAAAATGTATATCATTTGTTTCTTTTTTTTTAGTATTTATCTATTTTTTTAACCAGAATAGTTCTTATTTTTTATTTTATGTTTAATTTTTCAATAAAAATGTTTATGTCATTTTTAGATTATTTATTTTTTTGGAGAAAGTCTGCTGGAGGGCCCCTAAGACACTATGTATGCCCCTATGGTAAGTTAATTTGTTTGTATAGATATTTGTTATAGTTTGGTCCGTATTTGTGCATGTTGGTTTGCGACCTTTTTTATATAATTGTTTTAAATATAATATATATTTGTTTTTATGCATAGTGACTTGTAATTTTAATGTTGAAATACATGGTCATACACATACTTGATGAAACAAAATTTGATTTTTCTCGAAAACGGTCGACTTTAGAGCGTATGACCTAGAGTACCTTTTTTGTGTAGAAAACATTGGCGGTTCAAATGGGCGTCTCAAAACCGTACTTTTTCCAATGGCGTAGACATTTTTTTTTCAATTTCAACACCCTATATCTCGAAAATGGTTCATTTTAGAGGATAAGTTAATAGAAACGTTTTTTCATATTTTTGGACGATCTATCACGTCCTGAAGTCCTGCGCATATATTATGAAACACCCTGTATATTTGAAAGCATTTTTAATAATTGGTTCAGACGAACAGTTTCTAATTTTCTACATATTAATATGAACCAATTACAATTAAATTAGCTTTTACCTAAATTATCACTTACCGGTAATTTTTTATAGACCAAACCATTAGGAGTAAAACAAGCACATTTTCTGTATGCTTTATTAGATGGCATCGGAATTACATCCATATTGACAGATTTACATTTACGTCTTCGCCACTTGCCGCTTTCTTTTTCACAAAACCACTTTTGACCTTTTTGGCAAGGTAATTTCATTTCTAGTCTTAGACATTCTAATGCAAGCCGTTCTAATTTTGACGAAGGCATTACTGGAAGCAGTCTGTTATCTAATTGCATATCTCCTGGAAGAGAGAAACAAAAGAAAATCGGGATAAAAAAGATATAAGGTGAGGAAAAAGTGATAAAAGTAATTCACTTTATGTGTACACCGTAATACTTTGAGAATTAGCATCATCAGTGTCAAAAATGCAATCAATATATTAAATAGGAAATATTAATAAAATATATGATGTTTCCAAGACATAACTTTCCTATAAGTTATCAAATATATTGATTACGGCCTATATAATTAAAAAGTGTTTAAAATATGATTTAACGATAAACATTTTTTGCATAAATTTTATTCAAAACATTTTAATATCTTCATTTTCAATGAAAGTACATTTAGATTTTGCTTTTTTCCTCAAATTTGTCTGTTACGTTATATTCTCTATAACTGCAATTATAGAGAATGACAAACACTCAAAAACTGTTCTTATCTAATCATGAATAAAAGATATATACGTCATTTAGTAACATTTTAAAAGTAAAAGTAAACAAAACTGAATTGAAATAAAAAAAAACCGAAACATAAAACTATAAAACATTAGCAACAATAAAAAATGTCTAAACGTTGATTGTATAATCAGTAGAGTTATCGTAAATAACAAGTTTGAATTATGTATACATTATGATAATTATTACCTTGGTCTAGATTAGAGAGAGCCATATTGACGTTATCCAAATTAGTTTGCTCTTCCAAATCTTCTTCAGTAACGTCTTCAATAACATCTTCTGATACCTCAATTTCTCCATCATCTCCTCCTTCATCATCGTCGTCTTCTTCCTCATTATCGCTAGCTTCTAGGTTAGAATCTAGCGATATATCTTCTGAAGATTCATAAATTTTTGGTGATTCCGTTGATGGAAGATACCGAGGAACAGATATAGATGGAATGTCGGAATAATTAAAAAGCGCTAAGCCTTCTGTAGTTAATGGATTGTCCGTGTTCATTCTTGTAGTTGGATAGTTATTATTTTTATGTTTAGAACGATCAGAATGTGGCATTTCTCGACGTCCAGAACTAAAAAATAACGTTTTGATAAAATAATTACTCAGTAAATAGCCAAAGCATTTCGGATTTTAACTAACCTCTCTATTAAGAAAGTATCTGGCCAATTATTTTTTTTCCTTCTCGCAGTGTGAAACAATGGAAGAACAGATCTTCCGTCCATGTGTTGAGGGGGTACCACGCCTGCCATATCCAGAAACGTTGGGGCTAGATCGATATTTAGTACGATGTCATTAACGACGGTCCCTGGTTCTACTCCTGGACCTCGAACCAAGAAGGGGACTCTGACGTCAAATTCGAAAGGAAAACTTTTGCCCTAAAATAATATTTAAATAAAGATTTAGGTAGGTATATAAGTAATTTGGAACATTGAAAACTAGATATTGCAATGTAAATAAGACAGAGAGGGACTTGTAGGGTTAGAGCATGACTGAATAATGAAATGGCTCACATAACAATATAATATTACTGATTTTCGAAATACAGACGCCCCCCTTGCCCTTGTGTGGCGGCACCCATGTTTAGTTTAATAGTCTTATTTTTTTTATTCAGAGAATCTTCAGTTGTTTTATGTCCCATTCTTAATGAAATGTAAATACAATAGGAGTGGTCGATAAAAAATTAAATTTTTTCCGACGCCTTAAAAACCTTCCTTTTGATGAAAAATATATGTGGATTTTGTGCCTCAAGGCGATTAAAGTTTATTTATTCATAAAATAGCAGTTTTTTCAAAATATCTCTTAAAATGGACGGATTTGAGAAAAAAATCTAAAAATTTTGATTTTAAGGAGTTAATGAGTTTATTATTAAGAATATCTCCATAAATATGAACTTTATGAAAAAATCAAACGAGACCTTTTTTGTAGAAAATTTTAGTTCTTACAAAATTGCTTTCGTTAAAAATTAAAAATAGGTTTGACACTGTTTCATAACTTAAATATTATTCGGATAACATAGTTTTACGTGACTTGTAATTTTCCTAGCGTGGTCATATAAGCTGCTCCCCATACACAGATGCTATACCTAAGTATAGATTCAACTAAGCTGCTGTAAACAATTAATATAACTTTTTTGCTTAGTAGATTTCTTAATGAATAAAATTTATGAGTTAGTTTTTTTAGACGTTTAGTTGTGTACTGAATGTGTGTTGATGCTTGTCGATATAGATACCCAGGTATTTGATTGAATCAGTTTGTTTTATTTCTTCATAAACTCCATTGATTTTAATTGAATGTATATTTTTATTGAGTTGTAATAATTTGACAATTATTTTAATTAATCTAAAGATTTTACATCAAAATCTCATAAAAATTTTCAAGTACTTTCCTTCATTTGACCTAGAAATCTTAAAAACAGTTATTATAATATCAAAGTAAATTAAATATATGAGTTGATCAAACATTTCAAAGAAAGCACGTCTCAACTAATATTTAAATGATTTGGGAACGAGGGGAAGAGACAGTGACTGAGTGGGCCGGGCGTTACCCTGTCCGACTACCCACCGACGCCGATAAAGCGTATCTCGGGAATTTTAAAGTAATTTTTAAAGTTGTGATTAAATAATAAATATCAGCCAACCGATTTTAAACTTAGTGAAATCGAAACTACGTTTCGAGCAAGGTAAGCCTTCCTCTTTTACTATATTAAAATTGTGACAGTTCTCTTTTCATTTTGCCAAATTTTTTTAGTTAACTCTCTTCGTAGATTTTATAGGAAGTGATATAGTTTATTTTTTTGACTTTGGTAGCTACAAGATCCAACGAGATTTCTAACACTGTTTGCTATTTATTCTTATAGTAGTTATCGGTACTTTTTTATCGTCGGCTGATTTACCGAATCAGGCGAGAACCTAAGGGTGGATCTTGTACCTCTAAACATAGACTATTATTTGATCGTTTTTTATATTAAAAATTGTTACATGTTTAAATATATTGAGTTAAATATATTAAGTTGTTAAACGTTCACCTGTTTTTATCTTATGTGTGTTACGAGTTGTTGAGTTCAGTCCGAGTTCCATAAAGAGGAACAACCCCTTAGTCCAGATAAGCTATCTAATCAACTCCAGAGTTCGATAATTGGATAATTATTTAGGTGTTCCTTTTAATTCTTAACCAATACATACATAACAGTGGAATATATATTCCATCCTCATCAGGTCTACCTTCCCTTTTTATCAAAAGACACTCCGGGCACTTTTGCGAAGCCCCGGCGAACCTACCCCCGAGTAAGGAATATAGGTGCCTATTATTAGTTTGCCAAACCATTTCCTTAACCCGCTCGTACAATTCATCACGGGGGAACATCTTTTAATTTTAAACATATTATTTTATTTTTTCTTTTTCCTTTTTTTGTCACGGTGTGAGTGGATGAGCTCTAAGGACCTGTCTGTGACTGGTGACAGTCGCTGCCTTTACACTTACAGTGTACAGTGACTAGAATTCTTTTCGCCACTACATTGTTATTTAGTGACAGCAGTTACTTTCTAAGTGACGATGGTTATTACAGAGTCCTGTAACTGTTGGTGAAAAAGCAATAAATTTTGTTTTCGAGATGTTTAAACTTAGGACAATTTGCATCCAACCAATTTTCGACATCATTTAGTGCTTGTGAATTTTTTCAAGCCTCATCTCATGTATTCCCTGTACAATTTAAGACCATATCATCAGCATAAGAAATGAGGCTATTCTTTATAAGAGAGAAAATCGTTTATAAAAATTAAAAATAAAGTAGGTTCCAGGATAGTGCCTTGTGGAACACCTGCTATAACTATTCTTTTTCCACTTAATTTACAACCAACACGTACTTGTTGTGGTCTATCTGTCAAGTAATTACAAAAAAGTTTTAAAACATTACCGCGAAAACCTATGTTATCTAATTTTCCAAGCAATTTTTGGTGTAAAACTTTATCAAATGCTTTCTGAAGATCAAGAAAAACCGCAATATTCTTTTTATTTTCATTAAAGTTGGCTAGTATATCTGATATAAGTATTTGTAAAGGTAGTTCTGTTCCACTAACTTTTGGAAACCGTATTGTTTTTGTGAGATTATTTTGTTTATTTAGAAATGACCATACTCTTTTATTTAAATATTTTTCGAATATCTTTGAGAAATTGTTTATTAGTGAAATTGGCCGACCATTTGTCATTTCGTCTCTAATAGTTATGACATAACTCTCTTTAAACTGAATTGGAATATTTGTCGTTAGAAATATTAGATTGAATATATGTGTGAGAGGTTTTGCGATATTGGATTTAACTAATTTAATGACTTTAGCTGTTATTTTATCCATTTCCGGAGAGGCATTGTTTTGAAGACCTGAAATTAGTTCTTCAACTTCCAAATGTTCTGTAGGTTCTAGGAACATTGACTTGTTGTTCCATTTGTCTGATATTTTATTAGTTAGATTAAAATATGCCTACTGATCATGCATACATTTTGAAAGTACCTAAGTACCTACATTTAGTAAATAAAGAAACATATTAAATATTAAAAAACGACTTACTTTGATTAAACCAAACTGCCCCAAATGATATCCATGATCAGAAGTATAAATAATATAAGTATTATCTAATTCTCCTAAATTTTCCAACTCTTGCACAACCCTCTGAACTGCGTCATCTACAGACTGTAAAGTTTGCAAACGTTTCGTCATCAAAAGATCGGTAAATTCACGATGGATTGGTGCCATGTTTTTAGTTATTTGCAATATCCATTGTTTATCTGGATTGGGAGCGTGGTCGTAACTCGGAGTACTGAAAATAAAATTCGTAAATTAAATTTAAAATAACTTGTAACCGTTGTTATAGCTCTCGTAAAGATGTTATTTTTGGAATTTGAAATAATGAATCGTAAATAATTTTTAGTAAGGTAGCTGGAATAAATTAATTAAATATTTATGAATATAAATATTAATATGAATTATTTAGACATTTTATAATCTTAAAAATCATGCATGTACGTATTCAGTCTTCCAAACCAACTTCATCTTTTAATAATTACTGTTGTGAACGTACCCTAATATTAAGGCCAAGTTCAACGCGTTGTCAATGACAAGTGACGGCGATTTTTTTATCACAAGAAATACAGCTCTGAACGATAATATTTTCAAAAACTGTTTTCAAAAATGGGTTCAAAAAACTGTAAAGAATGGTGGAAAGTCTATAGCTTGTTTTACTTTTAATGCATAATATTTTAATAAGCATAATTTAACAAATATTTAAAAGTTATGGACTTTCCATTTTTTTTTATAGTATTTAAAAGTTAAAACGTAAAATACATTTTTTTATTTTTGCCTAATTATTTCAGGAATCTTGTGATAAGATTTAAAAATGTAGGCCTATAAGATGCTGCCATCTGAACAGACGGAATAGACACTAAAGTGAAAAATTGCAACATCGCTCCCTATGCAGACGAATATAAAATGGCTTAGCCCAATTTGACCATGTTTCTGGGTGTGGGGTGAGGTGTTGGGCGGGGATAGGTTTCAAGTAAATAAATTATTCTACAAATGGTATTTTCTGTTTGGAACACAACACAAGTATATTTATTTTGAAAGTTTGACGTTTATGGTTTGACATGTCATTTCAATTTAATGGACTTTAATTATTTAAAACATAAAATCTACTTATTATATACATACCTATATTATTGTAGATCCAGGTATGTTTTCGGTTTTTATTTTATTTTTATTTTCTTTATTTGGCTAGTTTGCTAATATCACAATATTCAAATTTAGTAAAAACTAATGTAATAATATAACAATTATTATAATCAAATTCTAAATAGGAAATGTAATTTAATTGCAATTGTTTTGATAACAGTATTTGCATATGGTCTGTGAATTTCATCTGTTTCCGAATAATTACCCTTAAATATTTGAATTTTTCTACTAACTGTATAGAATTTCTCAGCATATATTACTGAGGCCCTTCCTATGGTGCCTCAGTATTGCATTCGTGCAGACGAAAAAATTTTCTTACCCCCATTTTTTTAAAACTTTTTTTCATGTTTCCGATCATTCTGAGTCAAAAAATGCAAAAAAAATGTTCGTCTGGTCATTTATTTATTTATTTATTTATTCCAGAAACAAACAGGCATGAGCCTAATTACATGTTCCTATAAATACAGTGAAAATAGAAATCAACAAAAATACATAATAACTAATTAAATATATAAGTGAAATTATAATAAACAAACCTCGCTACTACAAAATTTTAACAAAGTTCATTAAAGAACAATACTACTGAATTATCAGAAATATTCAGGAATAATCAGAGCGTCTGCAAAACCCCACACCAAGGCCACGGAAATCCTACAAGGTTATGTCTCTTTAATCGAGCCCAACAATTTTGTTAAGTTCCTTTCTATATGTGCTTATAGCTACATCAAAAATACCGCAAGAAATGCCTTCGGAGTGTACATTAAACAAAAGACAAATTTTTTTTACTGGACCATGATTATCCGCACGAAAAGTTAATTGACGTGGACGAATACCTGCTATTGGAACATTAATTTTTATTTGACTCAATAAATATTGACTGTCCAAATATCCATTTAATAATTTATGTAAAAAGACAAGGTTGATTATAGAGCGTCTATGTTCCAATTTTTCAATTTCAAACTCTTTTCTAATAGGTCCAAATGAAACAAATCCTGGACTTGTATGATACTTTTTAAAGTATAAATATTTGACAAATTTATTTTGAATAGTTTCCAAAATGTGTTTTAAATTTTGTTGTGTAGGGTCACATACAGTGGATGCATATTCTAATTTACTACGAACGAGAGCAAAAAATACATTTTTAATCGAGTGTGTGTCTGTAAAGTCCCTAGTCGTGCGTTTCAAAAAACCTAACAATTTGTTAGCTTCTTTAGTAATGTTATGGATATGCTCGTCAAATTTGAAATTATTTTGAAAAACTATTCCCAAGTCGGTCATTTTTGACACTCTTTCTAGTGTTGATCCTTGCATTGTGTAGATAAAATTTTGAGGATTACGAATGTTACTGAATGTAAAAGATTAAAATGTAATTTATTTTCAAATGACCAATCCGAAATTGAGTCTAAGTCATTTTGAAGGTCTAGATAGTCATCTAGGGTGGATATTTTCTTAAAAACTTTCAGATCATCTGCATACATTAGGCAGTCTGATGTAATACGTAGAGGAAGGTCATTAACAAATATGAAGAAAAGTAGAGGGCCCAAATTGGAGCCCTGAGGGACCCCAGAGCCTGCGAGGATTGTATGATATACTTCACCACCAAACATTACGTATTGATACCTTAGTTTTAGATAAGACATAAAGAAATTTATTAGATGATCGCTAAGACCATAATATTTCAGTTTAGCTAGAAGAATATTGTGATTTACCTTATCGAAGGCTTTCTTAAAATCAGTATAAATACAATCTACTTGCTCACGAGAATTGACACATTTTGATATTTTATCACTGAAAGTTAATAAATTTGTATCTACAGATTTTTTACGACAAAATCCGTGTTGTTCGGTTGATATGTATTTTTGAAAGTAAGCATACAGTTTATCATATATTACAAATTCAAACAGTTTCGCCGTACAATTTAATATGGCTATGGGACGATAATTATCTATTTTATTTTTATCCCCTTTTTTAAAAATTGGTGTTAATCTCGTTCTTTTAAATTCACTAGGAAATATGGATGTTTTAAGCGACTTATTAAAAATTACCAGCAAAGGGTATATTAAATAATCTTTACAAGCTTTTAGGATATAACAAGGAATATTATCAGGACCCGCTGTCTTTTTCGGTTTTAACTTTCGAAATGCCGCTTCTAAGTCTTTGACGGATATTAGATCGAAGTCAATATTCTGATAAAAATTTACGTTCCAATTGTTAGTCAAACCATTAATATCTATAAGGTTGTAGTTTGAATCGTTGTCATACACTGAACTGAAATAATCAGCGAACTCCCTTGCTATAATTTTTTTGTCAGATATTTCCCTATTATTTATAATAAAATTTGATTCAGATATATTATTAGACCTCTTATCTTTAATGAACTTCCAAAAAAGCATGGGGTCCTGGTTAACACAGTTCTGCATATTTTGGATATAATTATTGTGCGCCGTCCTTATTTTCAATTTTAGGTCCGCCCTAATTTTTTTATATCTACTAAAATAATATTCCGATAGATGTTTTCTTTTTCTGAAAAATTCTTTGTACTTTATGTCGATTTTTATTTCATCCGTGAACCATGGCGGAAACTGTTTGCAATATGCATGTGGCCTATTAGTAAACTTTCGTACACATATGTCAAGCATTTCATAAAAAACCTGGTAAAAATATTTGACAGAATCATCAACCTTTTCAATGTGTCCAATTTTGGACCAATTAAAATCCCTTAGTAGTTCGCATAGTAATCTAAAATCAGCTTTTGTAAAATTATATCTGCTTTGAAGATTATTATTTGTGTATGTGAGTTGATTACTTTTTTTGTGTCTGTATGTATGTATGCCGGCCCGATAACTCAAGTTCTGATTGACTTGCGGTTTTGATTTTCTTGAATAATTACTTCTAACTTAGAACCCTATTAATTTTCAGAATTTTCGGTCCATCCTAACTACTTTATAATCAATTTTGTTAAAATCCGCATATGCATTTCTTATGTTACAATTTTAGGAATTTCAATTATTTCTAAGTCCTCAATCCTAACATTCATAAAATTCCATAAATTGCAAACATTCTCTAACGACCTGTCAAACAACAGCTGTTGATAGTAAAGGTGAAATTTCTAAGGCGGGTTGCGACTTTCATACTTGCAATCATAGCCATAGCTATTTTTATTCGAAATTAGTAACCAAGCCTGCCAATTTATGAAAAATATGTAAGCAATTTCTAAAAAATGACTTTTTTATAGTGGTGCTAACTTAAGCGTACTACGATTTCGCCCCTAGCCACAAAAACACCTTCATCAAATTTATTGGCTCTCTGTCGCAACCCCATAGAATAATTAATCGGCCATTTTATTTGGAAAAAATCAGAATAATGCTTGGTTGTGCCAGTCAAGTATCAAGATGTCAACTGTGATGTGTGAATGGCTCTTAAATGTCAAATTATTTAAAAATGTATACTTCTTTTGATATTTATTGCAAATAATTTGTAGTATATCTCAATTCAGGCTTTCCATAAAGGTACATCAAGATGGATAATATAATGTTCTTATACAAAGGTAAGGATATAATGCTGGTTTTTTTGTAGAAAACTTTTATTAAACGATTTTGGATTACATATTCAACCAGCGAATTGTAAATAATAATTAGTAAACTTCTAGTCATAAATTTCCTCAATAAATAAAATTTAGAAATGAATCTTCTTACCTTGATACCGAGGTATTTTGTTGTGTTTTTTATTTTAATTATAAAGTTGTCATTTATTTGTATGTTGAAAGAAGGCCTTTGTAAATTACATTACTCTCTATGGATCTAATTTAACACAAAAATAGTTTTGTGGCTATAAGTTGCTATAACCTATCGTCACAAAACTATTAATAATTTAAACATAGTTGATATTATTATAACATCAAGTAATTTTCTAAAATAAAGTAAATGATCTCAAAATAGAAATAATTTATAATAAATGCGGGTAAAACGAGGGGTAAAATAACAATAAATTAAGGGAAATACTTAAACAGGGCAGGTTTAATCAGTATTATCACAAGAAAGTATATCCGTTCTGTTTATTTATCAAGTATTGTTTGAGGTTACTTTTGAATAC